AGAGTTAGCCAATAAGAAACTGGACCTAGCCAGGCCAGGCAGTGTTTAAAAGAATACAGTTTCCGTGTAATTATTTCTGGGTATAAACTAGCCATGCGGGCGGCCGGGTGCCGGGGACGCAGCCCTGCCGCTCCTATTTCAACACCTAACAGACTTCCCTACAGGTAATCTGATGGAGACAAGCCCTCAATAAGTTTCCCTATTTCCGGATGACACTAAGCTTGTGTCGAGGCAACACACTAGCACAGGACAAGCAAGATATTTTAAACCTAGTCATAAGAAAGAGCCTGAGCCCCCAAAGAGACCTCTGGGGAGGCAGACTAACAGATAAAGTTATGCCTTTAAGAGAAAGTTGCCTGGGCTTCTCCAGATTATTATGATCTAGGTTGAGGAAGGAAAACTACAGGGAAACCCGACGGTAGGCATGGAGAAGGCTCTGGGACTGAGCTAAAAAGCCCGCTTGTGTGGACTTCCTCTCTAGATGCTGAGGTGTGTGCGGCCTCTGAGCGCTTGACCCCAATGTCCTTGTTCCAGTATGAATGTGACAGCTCAAGCCTTACCTTACAACTCCGTTCAGCCAATGGCTACTACCTAGCCCAGGTGAGACTGGTTCCATGTTTGCCTTACAAAGAGGTTCTGAGGGGCTGGAGAGATGGCTGCTCTTCCAGAGGACCTGAGTTCAGTTCGTAGCACCTCCATGGTGATGCAGAAACAGCTGTAGTTCCAGTTACAGGGGATGGGACGCCATCTCTGGGCTCCATAGGCACCAGGCATGTGGTACATAGATATGCAAGTTAAAACAGTCATACAAATAAATAAATCAAAAATTATGATTTTTAAGACCATTTAAAAAGAGATTTTTGAAGGCATAGTCCAGAAAATTACAGAGGCCGGGGACAGGGAGAATATAGGAATTGGGCCCAGGACTAAAATTGATGGGGAAAAAGCTGAGGTTGTTAACCTTCCTCCTGGTCCCCACATTCTCTCCAGAGGCGCCACAGAGCCATCATAGCTGACGGGTACCCCCTGGAATCTAACACCTTCTTCCGTGTGCACTGGAATTGTGGCAAAATCATCCTGCAGTCCTCCAGTGGGCGTTTCCTGAGCATTGCATCCAATGGCCTGCTGATGGCAAATGCCAACATCCCAGGTGAGCCGAGCCACTCTTCTCCTCCCGCGCTAACCCACGCCAGGGATTCTGCAAGAGCAAGGGCTCTCACATGTGGACGGGGAGAGAGAGAGAGGATGCATATGGAGGTCAGAAGCCTCAGGAATCCGTTCTCTTTGTTCCCCTCTCTTGTTGTGGGTTCCAGGGATTGAACGCAGGTCGCTAGGCTTCTGTGGCAAGTGCTTTCACCTACTGAGCCACCTTTTTTAAAAAAGGTTTTGGAAGCAGTGAGTTGACATTAGAAGGTTTGGATCTGGGTTTAGTTGCTAAGTGCTTATTGCTGGAACAGACCCTCTTTGAGCTTCAGGTTTAAAGTCCCTGACAAGGATTCTATTCTGCTGCATCACAGAGTTGAGGTGGAGATTAAATCAATTAACACATCCCAAAGAAAGAATATGTAGATTTCTTGTGCTCCATGCTCTGCTGAGTGCCCTGGCAAACATTTCACAAGCACCTAGTGTAAGACCTGGCACACAGCCAGAGTTCGGTAAAGGTTAAAAATACAGACAGCGTTCTGGGGCTAGAGTGATTGACAGCTCGGTGAGGAAAGCACTTGGGACAGCAGTGTGAAGACCTGAGCTCTGATTCCCCAGCTCGCACATAAAATGCTGGATATGGTGTGGGTGCCTATTGCCTAAGCGCTGGAGAGGAGAGGGCAGAGGTAAAGAATTGCTGAGGCACGCTAGCTGCTAACCTTCAGGAAAAACACTGAGTTATATGGTCAGTCAGAAGCCCTACCTCAGGGGATAAGGCAGAGAGTGATGGAGCGGGACACCCTCCTCTGGCCTCCGTGTACACACACACACACACACACACACACACACACACACACACACGAGAGAGAGAGAGAGAGAGAGAGAGAGAGAGAGAGAGAGAGAGAGAGAGAG